AAAATGTAATAGGTATGAATTGTAGGATCTCTATCATTGTATGTATTTGATAGCTGTGCCAAGGAATATAAATCTGAATTTCTCAGTAAGTACAAAAGAAGCTGATGCCCAGTGTATCTGTACTGCTCTATATATTGCTGTTCGGTGTTTCCCAACTATTGCAGTTTGGCATTTCTGGGTATAAACTGAAATGTTAACATGTGACCAATTTACACCAATTAGTAATTTATCTTCAGGAGACCTTGTACACAGTGAACTAGAAGTTCTAACGGGGAAGGTTTCAAGGTTTCCTACAGAAGTGTTGCCAAATGATGGTGGTTTAGCTGAAAACCAGGTTAATCTACATGTCCTCTTCCCTGCTTAAAGAGGTTCACACAGGTTCACTTGAGTCAAAAAGAAGTTGAATGCTGTCCTTTAACCATTAACAGGTCCAAGGGCTGTGCACAAGGCTGGGGTACATTTGTGATAGGACACAAAGTGTTTTCCCAGGAGCAGTTGCTAGAGTTGTTTGATGGTGAGCAAACAGTGTAACTTTAACAGCAAGTACCTGCACTGAGGAGTGTTAGCCTGGCCTGAAAACACAAGTCCTGTGGCTACCTCAGTTCTGCCCAAGCTACAGAACTGCTCTGCTTTCACCTCTTTATGGAAAGAGTATTTTGGTTTTTAGTTGCTGGTATGTCCTTTAATATGAGGAAAGACCTAAAAGCTCTTTATCCCTTCATCTTTCTTTCCTCACCCGCAGATTAGAGGCTCTAAGAGCAGTCCTTAAGGAGGTGCTTAGATGGGGTTGGTCTTGTTCCTTTCTGCCTTAATACCCTGTCAAAGCTACTAGGATTTCCCATAGTCTTCTGCTTTAATGACCTCTTAAAGTTTATCTTCTTTTTCATATATTTTTCTCTTACCAGTCAAAAAAAAAAAAAAAAATCACCACAACACTCTTTTTCATTTATTTGTGTTTTGGGTCAAGTCACACTGGTAAATTGTTGGTTTTTTATTTCAATAAACGTACAGGCCTCCTGTGCATGGGAAATGTTTTTAAATTGTCTTGTCTATGTGTAAAACATATTGTCTGTCCTGGAAATTCTTTGGAGTTAGATGTAAAGTACAGAGTCCTTCTTTATGCTGTGGGTATAACTTTTTAACTCCTTCAGACGATATGCAGCAATTAAAATTCTTGGCAGTTATAATGTCTATTTATCTGTATCTGTGGTAAGTTTGTGCAAGCTCTTATCTGCTAATAATATAAATGTGGCTTTATCTTTATTCACATAAAGTCACCTTTCTTGTTACTTACAGCCTTGTTCCCGAAGCCATGACTTCCTTTATCTCTGCAATATTTTACTGTGCTTCAAAGCACCACATATGCTTTCTAAAAAAGCCACAGAATGACACACTCCAGTCCTATTCTAATCTTTTTCTTTTTGTAGGCTCAGTGATTCTCAGTCAGTGTGAGATGGTGAAATGACAATTGGAGCATAAAATTTCCTCCACTTATAGTATATGTGGGAAATTATGTAAAAAAGACCCGGCATTCAAGAAATAACAGTGGCATGGTGTTGTCCTGACATGAGAAAAAAACAAAGCTTGAAAATTTGAATGATGTGAGCTACGTAAGTATATTCCATTTCTGCTGGTCTGAGTATAATAAAAGCATGAAACACAACCCTATTTAAACATAATTCTATCTTTTGAAACTGAAAATGGTGTCGTAGTTTAAAACAAATAGTACTAGTGTTTTGTAGCACAGTTTCACTGTGGTATTATCAAATCCATTTAATATTTTTGGACTCGTTGCATTGAATTTGTGATTTTTAAACCTGGTTTCTCCAGGC